TGCAAAGGACATGGAATCAGTATAAACCTGCACTATTATATTTATTAAAGTATTATTCACAATAGCCAAGAAATGGAAATAACCTAAGTGTCCATGAACTGATGAATAGGTAAAGAAAATGTGGCATATATACATAATGGAATAGTATTACACCATTAAAAAGGATGAAATTCTGTCATAACAATATGGACAGAACTGGAGGTCATTATGTTAAGTGAAATGAATCAGGCACAGAAAGACAGATATTGCATGATTTTACTCATATATGGTATCTAAAAAAGTTGATCTCATAGAGCTACCAGAGACTGAGGGGAGTAGGGTAGGAGAAGATGAACACTGGTTACTAAGTTATAGTTAGGAGATGATCAATGGTAACTAAAATGATCAATGGTTACTAAGTTATAGTTAGGAGAAAGAAGTTCTGGTGTGTTATTGCAGAGTAAAATAACTATAGCTAACAATAATGAATTATATATCAAAAAGCTAGAAGGAAAGACTTTGAATGTTTCTATCATAAAGAAATGAAAACTGATAAAACACTTGGGAGTTCATCTAACCAAGGAGGTAAAAGTGTATGATGAAAATTATGGAATTCTGAAGGAAGAAACTGAAGAAGACATTAGAAGATGGGAAGATCTCCCATGTTCTTGAATTGGCAGAATTAATATTGTCAAAATGGCCATACTACCAAAAGTGCTATATAAATTTAATGCAATTCCTATTAAAGTCCCAATGACATTCTTCACAAACTAGAAAAGAGAAGTTCTAAAATTCATTTGGAAGAATAGGAAACCCAGAACAGCCAAAGCAATAGTGAACAAGAAAAGTGATGCTGTAGGCATCATAATACCTGATCTCAAATTATACAATAGAGCTATAGTAATTAAAAAACCAACATGGTATTGGCATCAAAATAGATGTAAAGACCAATGGAACAGAATAGAAGGCACATAGACAAACCCACATACTTAACAGTCATCTGATACTTGACAAAGGTGCCATAAATAAATTTTGGAGAAAGGACAAACTGGATAGCTATAGGAAGAAAAATGAAACTAAACTTCTCTCATCCTGCACAAAAGTCAAATCAAAATAGATCAAGTACTTTGGAATTAGACCAGAAACATTGCAACTTCTAGAAGAAAACATAGGGCCAACACTACAACCCAAGAAATAAAATCAAGAATCAGTAAGTGGCATGCCATCAAATTAAAAGCTTTGCACAGCAAAGGAAACAAGAATGTGAATAGAGAGACTACAGAATGGGATAAAATCTTTGCCAGCTGCTTCTCTGAGGATTAATATTGAGAATATATAAAGAACTCAACAATTTTAACACTGAAAAAAAAATCAAAAAATTGGCAAATGAACTAAAAAAATTCTCAAAAGAAGAAACACAAATGACCATGTTCAACATCTCTAGCAATCAGGGAAATGCAAATCAAAACAACACTAAGACTTCACCACATTCTCGTCAGAATGGCAATTAAGAACACAAATAACAGCACAATTCACAGTAGCTAAACTGTAGAACCAGTCTAGATGCCCTTCAGTAGATGAATGGATAAAAAATATTACTCAACATTAAAAGATAATAAAATCATGGTATTTCCAAGTAAATGGAGGGAGCTGGAGAATATAATGCTAAGTGAAATTAGCCAATTCCCAAAAACAAATTCTGAATGATTTCTCTGATTTAAGGGTGCTGATTCATAATATGCTGCAGGGGGCGGGGGAGGAGGAGGGGGGGATTAAATGAACACTAAATAGGGCAAAGGAGAAAAGGGAAGGGAAGGGGCATAGGAGTAGGAAAGACAGGTGGAATGCGATAGTCATCAATACCCTAAGTACATGTATGAAGACATGAAGGATGTGACTCTACTTTGTGTACAACCAAAGATATGAAAAATTGTGCTCTATATATGTAATATGAATTATAATGCATTCTGTTGTCATAATTAACAAATTAAAATTTAAAATTTTAAAAAATAATAAAAAGTACACAAATAATAATAAATGCTTATGAGGATAGGGGGAAGGTATACTGATACATTGTTGGTGGGACTGCAAACTAGTATAACCACTCAGGAAAGCAGTATGGAGATTTTTCAAAACACTAAGAATGCAATTACCATGTGACCCAGGTGTAGTACTCTTTGGTATTTTCCCAAAAGAACTAAAATCAGTATATTGTCTCAATACAGCCATATCAGTGTTTATAACAACATTTCTCACAATAGCTAAATTATAGAAACAACTCAGGTACCCATCAATAGATGAATGGATTAAGAAATTTTGGTGTATATATACACAATGGAGTTTTACTCAGCCATAAAGAAGAATGAAATTAAGGCATTTGCTTATAAATGGATGGAAATGGAGAACATCATGCTAAATAAAATAAGCCAACATAGAAAATCAAAAGTCAAATGTTTTCTCACATGTGCAAGCCAGAGTAAAATAAAGGAGAGAAGACTGGATATTACAAAGATATAAGGAAGGTCAGTAATATACAAGAAGGAGATGGAGAGGGAGAGAGGAGGGATGGGAAAGGGGAAGAAATGTGTAATGAATTCTTAAAATATCATGTCATGTGCATATATAAATATACCACAGGGAATTTCTCTTTATGTATAAGTAGAAACAAGCAATCAAAAATTTAAAAAAAAAGTTGAGTGAAAGGAAGACCAGTAGAGGAAGGAGAATGGAGTGGGATGGGGGTGAGGGTTGGAAGAGAAAAGGGGAGGATCCTGACCTGAAATAGAATTCAGTGCATATATTTTTTTTTTCAGGATAAACCCAACTACTATGTATAACTATAATGCTCTAATAAAAAAAATGCTAACTGAAGAGTTAGTTGTGTTTAACTTGATTTAAACATTATACAATGTATAAATGTATTGAAATATCACATGGTAGCTCATTAACAGGCACAATTTATGTTTTTTCTGAATCAGTTTAAAAAATTAAAATACAAAAAAATCATATAGGGCATTTACATGTGGATGAGGAAGAACTCATTCAACAGTAGTCAAGGATGTAAGGTAAGGTTAATGGATCAGTATAAGGAGGACTGATTTAAAGTTAATAAATTAAATATAACCCCAAATATCTAATCTTACAATACAGTTGCAACTGTAAAAGCCAAATAATTAGGAATTGCAGCTTTAAAAAAGCAATTTTGCTCCCAATATTACCTATCATTCAAATGTGCATTATTAGAACTTGCAAACTTATAATTTAAAAATTGACTATTTTTTTCTAGTAAATAAAAAATAGACCATTAGTGTCGTGCCCACTGAATAACTCATTTACATGAGAAACATGGTTAACTCTGAGCTAATTTTGCAAATAACTACTATTCACCTAGGATAGGTAAACATGTAAACATTTGAATCAAATGAAATATGCTCGTTCCCCTTTTGTATATTTATATGAGTTAAAGAAGGTACTGATCAACATTCCATTTTTGTTTATAAACATTTTTAATAACATGTTTAAGAAGTAAATCCTCTAATATACTTACTTCCAGTATTGTTCACTGGGAAGCTGCCCTGGCTGATAAACTTCACTGCCATTGATGCAGGTAAAATTGTTGGCGTGTACCCAGCTCATATTCACTTGCATCTCTGTACCATGTATACTCACATTACAGTGAGTTACTAAAAATTATAAAAAAAGAAATACAGACACAGATGTGAATTGAGCTTTTGAAGAGTACTTTCCTGGAAAAAAAGTTACTGATAAATATTTAAGTTACTGACTAAATTGTTAACTTGGTGAAGGTAGAATAAAACATTCTACAAGTAGAAGGAATCATGTACATGCAGCATCTTAAATCTTCTCTACTCCTAAGCTTAGAGTGAATATAGTACTATTTGCCTCTTTAAATTGTGATAGTATTTATACTATTAACAGTTATAGAATAACTATAATTGTTTTCATTGAGATTTAGTGCTCTAAAAACTTTTAACAGGTGGACTTATCTATCTAAACTATGTAGATAAATTGATGCATTCAAATTTCTCAAAAGCAACAAATCTTTATAACTTTAAGCTCTGGTGTATATAGGTAATCACAATGGTAATAGCCCACAACATTGATGCTACTTATCCCAAAGATTACCATCATATTGACATGGACAAAACCCACTGTTTCCTGAAACACACATTATGGATAGCACTTTTCTCTATCAGTTTCCCATTTCCTTGCTTCTCTTCTGCCCAGGACTTAAGCCTGTAAGAAGTACTCAGAGGCCTGGTTTAGCCTTCCTTCCTGCCCTCAAATATTAACATGTTAACTAGTTTTCAGATCATACATGCTATATTCTGTTTTAACCAATGACTTATAGCCTACTTAAAATTGGACCTAAATTGATGCTACTTATCCCAACAATTAATAACACCTATTGTTCCCTGAAAAACATTCTCCTACTACTATGGATAGCATTTTTTTCTCTTTATTACTTTCTAGTTTTCTTACTTCTCTCCTACCCAGGAGGATTTAATCCTTCAAGCTTATTTAGAAGATATAAAAGAATGATGTGGAGATGATAATATTTTTAAAAATTAAATCAGTGAAATTTACCTATAGGTGTCCTGCTACAGTTACTGTCTGACCAAGAAGAACAATTTTTCCATGGTAGTTCACTTTGAAAAGAAGCAAACATGTAGTAAAGACTATAACCAATTATGACATTGTAATAGATTGTCACAAAAATAGATATCAGGACCATTGTAATTCCCACACCTGGAAAAGATAAAAATTAAACAAACTTAAGTGAAATTTATTGTACTAACTCATAAAAAGAAGCTGCATCTTAATTTCCACAAAATCTATTTTAAATTTAAAAAACTGTTTCAAATAATTCTTTTTCTACTTTTGCAGGGGGTGGGTTAGAAGAGGTCAGGGATGGAGAATGTAATACTGAGTAGTTTTATTCCAAAATTTAAAGCTATTTCGATGATTGGTTTTATGAGACAGTTTTTCAGTTGATTAGAAAAGGCATTAAGGTCAAGGGAAGAAGACCTGTATTAAGCAATCAAATTTACATAAAGCCTATGTCTATTACTCTTCCTCACTAAGTCTATGAATTCTTATCAGAGTGGACAGTGTGGCATTAAAAACATTCAAAGTCCATGAGCTGGGGCTGTGGCTTAGCGGTAACACATTTGCCTGGCATGTGTGAGGCACTGGGTTCGATTCTCAGTAGCACATATAAATAAATAAAATAAAGTTCTATCAACAACCAAAAAAAATATTTTTTTAAAAAAAATCCTGGATTAAAACCTTAAAAAAAACATTCAAAGCCCATATTCTATTGACACATTGACCAATATTTACATCTTCATCTATAAACCAACATTTTGACAGGCAGAAAATGAAGCCTTTGAATTAATGTTCTGAAGGGACATAGTACAGTATTTCTACAAGTACACGTAAAATAAATTGTATAATTCAGTGAAATTTGAACTTAAACCTGCAAAATTTCTTTAACTCAGTAGTTTCTAAATGCAGTTTAGCATACTGAATATAACTCCAATGCTTAAGACTAGCTTTTGAAGTAGCTTTTCTAGTCTTCCAGCACAATATTCTATTCACCTCACCATGAATTTCTTTTTGATGTCCCCTTGAGCTTTTTGCAAATATTTTTCAGCAGCTAGCAAATACTAACATGATATTTAATCTTCAGAGAGAAAGGCAGTTTGATATTTAATAACAATAAAGGCATTTTCAGCTTTACTAGCATCCTATTCTATTAGGAGCATCCAGGAAAAAAATAGTGACCTGCCCTTCAAGTTTTCTGAAAGAGGCTTTGTAAAAGATGTGCAAAGACAGTGAGACAAAGACTGCATATGAAGTATTTTAAAATCCAGAGCTGTTAAGTAAGTGTACAACAAGATGTGCCAAAAGAATTCAAAAGGTGAAAATAGAAAATAGTGGCATCTTTACAACCATCTCTACTCTCCCTTATAACCCTTCCCATATCTGCAGCCACACTAAACACAAACAAAAATCATTTCATTCATTTTATTCTTAAATTCCACTGTTACACACTATACAGAAAAATAGCAATGTGTGCTTCTTGAGCTCCTTTGGCCGGATTTTATTTTTTGTACTTTTTATTTTTTCAATTGCCAGATAAAATTGTATGTACTTTTCATGATGTTTGCAGTACATGTACAATGTGGAATGGTCAAATCTAGCTAATTAACAAATACATTACATACATAGTTGCCATTTAATTGGTGAGAACACTTAATTTCTAGTCTATCTTTGAGAGTATACTATTGGCATCAATTATAGTCACCATGCTATGACTTCTAAAATTACAGAGTTGTAGATTATAGATGTCTTGAACTTATTTCTCCTAACTCTACCCATACATCTTTTCATCTATTTCCCAACCTCTAGTAACCACCATTCTGTTCTCACATTCTATGAGATCAAACATGTCCAAATTTTAACACTTTTTCTCCCACATAGTGAATGCAGCTATATATACACATTGACCAATAAGCATGATGCTGAAAATGTTTTCAAACCTACCTTGAAACAATGGCAAAATCCTCCAAACTGAAACTGGACCTAAACTAGCAAATTGTCCCAATGAACACTCTAGGAAGAACAAAGGTAAACCAGCCAATGCCAGCATAATTGCATAAGGTATCAAGAAGGCACCTAGAAAAGGCAAAAAAGAATAAGAACAAAAATGCTATTACATTTCAAAATCTTCATGGCACTTTGACAACCAGCATAACATTTTAAGTGATACAGTAGAAACAATGTGTTCCAGGTTTGGGTCTCAAATTTACTACTTTCTATGATTCTCTAAACCTTGGATTTCTCATCTATGAAATGGTCATGCTAGTATTACCTAATGAAGTGGTTACAATTATTAAAAATAATAGTCTATAAATGTAAACTAGAGGAGTTGAATGATCACAGGTATGGAACCAGAGGGACTTAGGTTAAAATGCTGGCTCTATCACTTCTTAGTTATGTGACCTGGGGCAGTTTATCTAACCCATGAGCCTTGTGCACCTCATAAAAGTGGAGAGCAATACCAACTCAACAGTTTTGGGTAAGGGTTCAAATACTGGGCCTATATAAAAACAGTTGACAATATGTCAGGCATATAAATCGCCAATTTTTAATACAAGGTACAAATGCTAAATGTGGTTCAGAGTGGAAGTTATTATGATTAAGTTAATTATTCTCCAAATAGTCATGAGGCTCTTTACTCAATAAGAAATTTGTTGGTTTCGAGAGAATAATCTAAACTGAATAGTTAACTTTCACTTTCAGAGAAATTAATTCTTCCATATTAAATTATCCAGCCCTTCTCCCCCACCCCAACCCCTTTTAAAACTTTTTAATAGTTTGTTTTCTTTCTTCCTGCTTCTGGGCATAATATTGTTCATTAAAACCCTTTACCAGATTTTAAATTGAAGCAGAGACAGAATATTAAACTTATTAGTCAAATATTCTGGATGTCTTAGAAGTTTAATAAAAGCAATGTGAATAAAAATAGGATTAGATACATTTCATTTACTCATGTCTATAGTTTTTCCTCAAGTATTTTTCATATTATGATACTGTAACATCATAACTATGAATTATATGTTTTACAGCCCTTAAAATAGATTCTATGTAAAATGATACAATCAAGTACCGACTCATATTTAAGTGACTTTACTTTAATGCTAACCCTGGAAGACATAAGGAAGAATGTTTGAATAGATGCTGCAATGGGTATACCATCACTAATATGACTAACAGAATTTTAAGTCCTACCAAAGATAAATATGAAGAAAAAATAATACTAATATCTCTGATTATCTATAATAATAAAGTTTTACTAGCCTTGTGTGGACAGATTTTTTTAAGTGATTATTTTCCTTAATTTTATATATGACTTTTCACCCATTATTGTATTTCATGACCAATGAAGACTATGATTGATAAGTTGTTAACATAGTGGCCACATACTATTAATACTACTGGTCTAGATCTTAAGACAACATGACACTTTCTCTTTCATAAACTGTTAAAAAGAATCTGCAGATTAAAACATTCCAGATTTACAATAGTTTTCCAAACCTGACCATATTTCTTAAACCTGATCAATTAACATTTAACAAATTCAAATTTCGTGTTACTTTTCTACCCTTGAGTGAAAAAAAGAAGGAATTGAGAGAGCTTAGATCATCTATGACCCAAATGATATCTTAAAAACTGAGAGTCAATAGGGCATATCAACTTTTAAAGGAAATGGCAAAAAAAGATAAATGCATATGCTAAATAATACTATTCTGTTTTGGCAATATTTTAAAATTCTCAATTACAACTAGTTTTATGCAATTCCTAGAAATTAATGGCAATTGTTCAGTGTATGTGTGCTGTCAAATCAAAGGGAATTTCTTATTCAAATCAGTGAGGTCAAGAAGCTCAAAAGGAACCTAATGCTTCTCTTCACCACACTGGACGTTAGGACATAAGACACCAAAAGGACTGGGATTTCTGACTCATTTGCCAACTCTTACATCAAACCCACTACTGAATGACCTAAGTCCTACATAGAGGATTTTATGCTACCCACACTTAAAGTGTTTAGTAAAGATCTTCTTTCTTAAGTATCTGAAGGAGAGTGTGAACATTTTAATTCATCAAATTAGCAAGAAATGGAACATTGAAATATCACAAAAAAATTCTATTGTACCAAGGAAAAATAATTACAGTGGCACACATTCACTGGTACCCAGTTATGAAATATGATGGCATGTCACCTTTACACTTCTAATAGAACCTGTAATTATAAGTAAATAAATATGGTGTAAGTGAAAAGATATTTCAACATTACTAAAGAATTGTGCAATTCATTTTATTTCCCTTTGCATGTCACCTCAGTTATTTTTTCTTCTAATTGATCCTACTTTAATGATGTTGCAAGAATAAAACATATAGCCTTGAACTAAACTCTGTTGCATCTTAGAAGGATCTCCTACATAGTCAATCCAATTTGGAATATGTATAACCAAAGATTGCAATTTAAAAATACTAAACCTTTAATTACATTTTATCATCTCTTTCCACAGTTAAAATAACAAAATGTAATGCCTTGTTTTAGTTAAGCAAACAATTCATTTGAGTCTCATAATAGAACTATATGTCCCTTTTTTTCTTTGATTTAGCTATAAATAAATTAACAACTTGAATTTGAACAGATTTTTCACAGGAAGATGTACACATTTTTTTAAAGTCCTAGTTGAAGATTATATGGGATCTTAAATCAGAAGCTCAGAAATGAGAGAAAACTTATCAAGTTTATATTTGAGAATATTTTGAAACAAGATTCCTAATTTGAGCCAGTAAACTCAGTCTAATAATACAAGTAGTATGTTTGCTTTTCATCCTTCTATTAACTGAAACTATTGTATACCTTTATTAGCTCTTAAAGTTTCCTCAGAGGCACCCCAATTATAACTGGAGGAAAAAGAGGAAGAAAGAATACCTCCACCATTGTTGTAGGTTAGGTATGGGAATCTCCACACATTTCCCAATCCCACTGCATATCCAACCATAGATAGAAGATAATCCGATTTTTTGGACCAGTTCCCACGGTCCTGATTCTCATCATTTTCACCAACATGGAAATTCTCAGATGAAGCCGTCACCTTCTGAGGAAGGAAAAAAATATCTTTCTACCATTACAAATTCCACAGAAGCATAATTTCAAAAATCCATAGAGTTACAGAAATGGAAGAAAAGAAAGAACAAACCCTGTGTACATCCTATCCAAGGGAAATTCTTTCCAAAATCGGGGAGATTTCTGCTGGTAGCTGCATTTACTCAACGTTTTCTCCCTCGAGAAAAAAGTCTGTAGGTAGATATTTCTACTACTCCTTCAGCTTAAATCATCCAAAGTTTAGTGAAAAGGTTAAATGTCATGCCAGCATGAAAGGCAAACAGAAGAGGACAAAACAGGTTTCAAGTACAAAAGTCTTAAGAATGAATTAGGAAAAGTTAATGTTCTTGAGATTGTAGCAGATCTTTGAGAAGGAGGATCAAATGTAGCTTCTACTGGAAAAAAAAAAAATTCACATACTCCCTTTCTTATGTGCTGACCATTTTGGAAGTTTGGAGTTGAAGGAAGTTTAACCTCTCTCCCCTGTCTTGGAGCATAAAATCAAAAAGCCACAGAATAATATGCAGAGACAATTTTCCTGTCCCACCAGGTGGAGCAACTCTCTCTGCACTTGTAAGTGGGAGGAGAGGGGTTCTCTCTCAACCTGTTAAGTGCTCTGGGGTATCAAGGTTTCTTAGGTCAGATAAGGACAGTGCACTTTCACATTACCCTCCAGCATATGCCACAGTTTAGAGAAGGACAGAGAACAGGATTTTGTAGACACTTCCCAGGCTGAGGTAGTTCTAAGTCTCCTAGCTGCCTAAATAAGAACTGTTCTCTTGTTCCTCTACTCTATGGGGCTATCTGAGCACACCTGAAGATAATTGAACAGAAATGAAGAGAACAAGGAGCAGCCACAGAAGGCAAAACCTGAGACTAACTAACCCTCCCTCTTAAGTTTTTCCTTCCCAGGCCCTCCACACCTCCAGCAGCTCCCAGACCCCTACCTCCTTCCCCCTGCACTTGAAGAAGCTGGGGCACTTCAATTTGTCCATGGTTCATTCAGTCCCTCGGCTTGCTCCGCCTTGCCTCTTCTCACAGTCGGGCTGAGCTTGACTGGTAGCAGGTGCACACTCCCCGTTCCTACCTGCCAGAGTGAGCCACCTTGCCCAGGGGTGGGACCATTTATGGAGGGAAGCTCTCCCTTCCCCCTCCCAGGCTTCCAGTCGTGTCAATTACCGGAAGGGACCTAAGTGAGGCTCAGGTTTTTCCCCAGGTAATCCTGCATGTAGCAATTCCCTGCCCCGGCCCCAGGAAAGGGCTGGGCTGTGAGCGAGCAAGCAGAGCTGCCTGAGCCAGGATGACTGACAGCCTTTGACTCAGAGCTGTGCAGGTGCCTTAGCAATCTTGCCTCCTTTCCTGGATTCCTTGCTTCCTCCTAACCTCGCCTCTCAGTCTGGTCTCTGTCCTGGGGCCAAGTGCTGATCTACCCTGATTCTGGAAGGTGGGAGAGACACAGTCTGTGGGGCCCATTCTGTTCCTCAAGATTCCCCTAAACAGACCATACCGCCCTGGGCCCTCAGATTACCCAAATTTTTGCCCCTGGTTAGAAAGCTTTTCATCCCCTGGGGCAGACACTGCTCCCAGAGGGAAAGCCCCTGAATTGGGCACCTTGAATCACAGCAGCTAAGATAAGATTACCCAGCTGGCTCTGCCTGAAAAGAGTGACTTTGAGTGTGTCTCAAGCTTCTTTCTCCGCCTTCAGGACAGTTTTGCCTTTTACAAGGATTGCTTTGTGTAGTATTTCAATGAAGCCAAACACAAACAAATTATTGAGCAGGTTTATGGGAAATTCTAACCTAACAAAGAACTAGACTCTGCAAGAAGGGTGAGGCCTAGAAAGTAAACTGTAAGGAAACATCCCAGTTTGAGTGGGGAGGAAATAATTATTATTAAAATGCTGTTTTCATCAAAAACTCAAATAATTTAAACATAATTCATCCAGTAAGAGATGGTAGTAGTTCTGTGAAACGTAGCACAAACTCCTGCACACAAAGGAACCAGCAAACAGCCAGATTCTATATCCTATATTAAGGTCCTTTGTTCCTACTGGCTGACAAGAAAGTTCCATTTGCAATAGAAATATGCCTTCAGGAGTCCAGTGAAGTAAAGGAAAGTCCATGAGGGAGGTTTGAAGGAAAAAGTATGTATCAATACGTTTCAGGTAGCTTGGTCTTGAATTTAACAGACGTGTGTGTGTGTGTGTGTGTGTGTGTGTGTACGCACACGAGCATGAGAAAAAGAAAGAGTATGAGCATGTGCCTTTTAGTACTACCTAGTACTGACATGTGCCTAAAGGTTAAAATGAAATTATTATGGTAGAGAGGATAAAGTGAAAGGCCCACAGAACTCTTCCTAAAAGGGTGAGCTGAAAAGTAAATCTAACAGCATTTACTAAACTATCAAAGTCCTGAAGAAATGAAAGGGACCCATCATGGGCCACCACAAACTGTTGGTAACTGAGAGAGTAGAAAGAGACTAGAAACCCTAAGGATAGAAAGATTATGGGGATCAAAATTCAGAGGTAAGTTATATTTAGAGAGAACAAAAAGCAATTTTGCCTGTATGTTACACAGTACAGAAGTTTCAATCACCTTTGAGATTAGAGCACTTGAAGCAAAAAATAAAATAAAAGATGTTTTAAAGAATGTATTTTGTTTGTTTATGTAGGGGGTGGTATTCCCATTGCCAGGCATGGCCTTTCATGACTTGATTTCTGCCTTTTTACTATCATCTCTTGTCATTCTTTATCTCAAACTCTTAAGCTTGTATGTACTATCCCGTACATACTGTTTCTTTTCTCACCTCTGTGCCTTTGCTCATGCGATTACTTCTTCTGGAAATTCCCATCTCTTCTTTATTTGGGTAACTACTAGTCATCCTTTAAGACTCTGCTTAGGTGTCTCCTTTTCCAGGTTATTCCACAACAGTTCTTCCTGTATTACCAAAGACTAGGTTTGAATGTCTCCGTTCTCTATTCCTATGCTACCCTTTGATCTTTTTCCATTGTGTAAGGTCATTTGCTTATAGTCCTCTAAGATGTGAGTTCTTTGAGGACAGGGAGACTTTTTTTTAAAGTTTTAGAAATATATTTTAACTCATACATAAAACATAAAATGTATAGGTTAATGGGTAACATGATGTTTTGATTCATTTATGTACATTATGTAGTGTTTAGGACAGTATAAACATTTTTTTATCTCCTCAAATGTTTATCATTTCTTTATGGTGAAAACTTTCAAATTCTTTTTTCTAGATTTTTATACATAAAATATGGAATTATTATTTACAGTTATCATACTATTCAACAGTGCACCCAGAGCTTCTTGCTCCTAAGTGTAAATTAATACCCATTGACCAACTTTTCACCATCCAGCTCCCACTGTCTCCATCCTCTCTAGTAACCACCATTTTACTCTCAACTTCTATGAGATAAAATTTTGATTTCACATATGAGTTATATCATGTGACACTTGTCTTTCTGTGACTGGTTTATTTCATTTAACATAATGTTCTCAAGTTATCCATATTGTTGCAAATGAAAAGATTTCATTCTTTGTATGGCTGAATAGTATTCCATTGTGTATATGTACCACATCTTTGTTAACCATTCATCTGTTGATGGATATACACTTAGATTGTTTCCATTTCTTGGCTATTGTGAATAATGCTGCAATAAGCATGGGAGTATAGATGTGTCTTCAACATACTGATTCCATTTCTTTGGGGTATATACCCAGTAGTTGTTGGATTGCTGTGTCATATGGTAGTTTTATTTCTAATTTTTTTTGCAGTACTGGGGATTGAACCCACAGACATTTTACCACTGAGCTATATCCCCAGTCCTTTTTACTTATTTATTTTTTGAGGCAGGGTCTTGCTAAATTTCCCAGGTTGGCCTTGAACTGCAATTTTCCTGCCTCAGCCTTCTTGGTCACTGGGACTACAGGCATGCACCATCATGCCTGGCCCATTTTTAATTTTTTTGAGAAACCCAAGGAGACTGTCTCTCTATCCTTCCCACATTCCAAGGACTTAGTACAGAACCTGATGCAGAGAAGACACTCGTACAAGTTTATTCAAACATTTTATTCAAAAAGACCAATTAATGACTTTGCTGTCAAAAACCGGAAAAGTCACATAATTTAGAATCCACCTCCAAGAGATCATGTAACACCAGGAGCATGCTTTCTTTTCTTTGGGATCTGACTTATTAACTGCTGAACAAATTGTGATTATGAATCATTTATTGATTCAGAAATCAGATGAAGTATACAATTGAGTAGGAAAAATAGAGGGAACTACATAAACTCAGGCACAAGGATATGAATGAGTAGGTATTAAAGATCACAAGAAGACTATACTGATTTTTGGAGTAACAAAAAATAAGTTTGGAGAGAGAAAGTGTGGTCATTCATGGGCCTTGCAATTTCAGATTAAGCTATGGTCTAAAAGACAATAATAAGGTGATGGCTAACTTAGAAATAACATATGACAAGCTCTGTTTTAGTCATGCAATATACTTCAAAATCATAATTAGTGACTGTCCTCTCATCCACTCAGTTATGCAATGTTTAACAGTGGGCCATCTCTTCCTTAACATATACACCATAACTATGAATTTGATTAGCTTTCTTTTTTAAAGTATTGTCACAAATAGGTAGATTCATTTAAAAATAAGTCATCAGCAACTAAAAATCAGCTTATAACTGTGATTTTATTCAGGAAACAAAGTTCAAATGGATCCAATAGTTACATCCTAATTTTTTAGCTAATATCACATTTATGTTATTAACCATGGAAGTCCTTTCAATCTTATTTTTAACGACCAAAATTAAAGAAGACTCATTACCTAAAGCTTTCTTCTAGTTGATTTGGATATGGAGAATTTGTGTAAATGAAAAGGCATTTGAGCACTCTTGTGAAACCCAGTGCTTTATTTAGCAACTACATGGTTTTCTAGCCTCATCCCAGAAGAACTCTTTTCTAATTTTTTAGTATTTTTATTTTTTATTTCCTAATTTTTATTGGTGCATTATAGTTGTACATATTCATGGGATTTCTTACATATTCATACATGCACACAATATAACAGTATAATTTGGCCAATATCACTCACCAGCATTTCACTCCTCCCTCACTGCCTCCCACTCCTTGGTCTCTTTTCTCTACTGATCTCACTTTGATTTTTAGGAGATCCACCCCCACATTTCATTTTCTTTTTTCTCTCCAGTTTCCACATATGAGAGAAAACATATGACCCTTAACCTTCTGTGTTTATTTCCCTTAACACGATGGTCTCTAGTTCTACCCATTTCTCTGCAAATGACATTGTTTCATTTTTCCTTATGGCTGTATAAAACTCCATTTTGTAAAACTACCATATTTTCTTTATCCAATCATCCATTGATGGACATCTAGGCTGATTCCATAGTTTGGCAATTGTGAATTGTGCTGCTATAAACATGGGGTATGCACTGTAGTAAGATGCTTTTAATTCTAGAAGAACTCTTTTAAAAGCTCACCAGCTGAAAATTTGAATGAATACACTAGTCAACAATAAAAATAAATAATATATTTATAAAATTCCTATCATAGTAAATGTGTATACATGAGTTATGCTTTAAGGGTTTAGTATCAGACATTAACTATTTTTTAAACTATTGTATTCTACTCAGTCAAAACATTAGTTAATTATTTCTAGAAAAGTTTCCTTTATTTCTAGGAAGCAAGATTTATTTAAGAAAGGCAAACACAGAACAGGGTGTGTAACTCAGTAGTAGAACACTTGACTAACATGTGCAAGGTCCTAGGTTCAATCCCAAGCACCACACACACACACAAACACACACACACACACATAATCACAGATATTTTTGCTATCAGCCAAGGTGGAAATGATTCTTTAACTATATTAATTAGTGAATTAACAGAGAACTCATATGATACTTTCTTATAGAATACAAAGTACAGTGTGCAAGAGAACCTTGAAGAAAATGGTTATTCCTGATACATAATTTCATATTGGTGCTTTGCAAGCTGAGAAAGTGAATCTGTTAAATTTTGTGATTTTTTTACACTGGCTATAGAATACCATAGAGCTTTTTATTAAGTGTAAATTTTATATGA